TTGTCTCCCCCTCTCCCATGTCTCTGGGAACCATAGGTCCCATTGTTTTCTCCTCCAGATTGTTTAAACACCACCACCAACAACAAAGGAAAAGCCTATAAATAGTTCAAGGTCTATTTGTTGACTTTCAGGAGTGTTTTCCAGTGGAGGCTGATGGGTTGCCATTCTCTGGCCCCGCAGTCTATTTTTGGTGTTCCCCGGGGACTTCATTGTTCCCTGGGGACTTCATTGTTCCCTGGGGACTTCATTGTTCTGCTCCCCTGGCTGTTCTGTTGCATGCCCATAGTGATTCACCTTGGTGTGGTGGGCATCAGATCGGGCACAATTTCCGCACTGTGTCTCCAGTGTTGTCCCATGTTGTCTCCCGTAGCACTATGGGTCAGTGAGGGATGTCGTGTCTAGTGGTGGGGCCGGCCCTATGGTCCTCTCTGTGCAGTAGCTGCTCTAAGCAGGGATATCGTCCTCAGGGCTTGGTGGGCCAGGATGTGCCCCACTCTCTCTCCCCCTCCCTTCATTTGCTCCTGTCTGCTCTGATCAGACATGTCCCTCTCCCTGAGCTGTAACTTCAGTGCTGTCCTCTGAAGTAAATTCTTCTTGGGGGAGTGAGGGCTGTCCACATAGTTGGGATAGGGGCCAGCCCCTCATGAATGGGATTTCTTAATAGCATATTTAGTTGATGTGGCAAAAAATTTGTTTTATTTTTTTATTTATAAGAATAATAGATTATAAATTATTCTTAGTTTCTTAGCAAATAACAATTAATCAAGTCTTCATTTACCATATTCATACCTGTAATTTAATGTGTACTTGGATTTAATTCTTTCCTTTGAGCCTTATTTATGGTTTTTATATTTTATCTGATCTATTAAGACTATATAAAAGGAAGAAAAAAACACCCATATGTTGTATATTGATGTAATAGATAATTGTAAGAATTAAAGTGTTAAATAACTAATCGAGAGAATTCTTTCATATTTTTTATTCAAAACTTTTGTCTTAGTCACTCAGGACATAAAACATTAGACTTCATAATCTCACCCAACCCACTGCCAATTCTGACTCGTAGTCACACTTTGTAGGGTTTCTTAGGCTGTTTGGGAGCAGATAGCTC